ATTGGTTTTTACTTTTAAATCTTTAGTAAAAATTAGCTAAATGTAAAGAAAAAAATTATTATATAGAAAAAAGAAAAAAAAGAAAAATTTTATGTAAGCAAATGTTTCATGAAAACAATTCTAATTCCTAATGAATTCTTCTCTCATGCAAACAAAGGATTTGGAATTTCAAATAAATTCCGTATCAATTCTATGCATTTCCCAAACGAAAGAATTGGAATGACTTGGAATTCCAATTCATAGAATTCCAATTCTATAGAATTTCAATTCTAATTCAATTCTAATTCTATAAAACCAAACGCACCCTGACAATGAATTTCAATGATTTTCTTATAATCCCATTCATGAATAGACTTCTAATTATTCCTTGGGCTATTTACATAATACTAACATTGAGTTATTCTTGCAATATTGCTCATAAGAGGGACAAAGGTAATATGACTCTCTACTTTGTAAGTTAATTTGTTTGAACTTCAAGTTAATATTTTAAGTAAAGGATAAAAGTAGTGTGATCAGTATATAAGTCTGTATTTGAGGCTTACAATGTTTTAGCAAATGCTTGGTAATCCCCTTACTAATCAAATTCGATGATAAATTATTAATTGATTTTCTAGATAAAGTCACCATATCCTTTAGTTAAGCATTAAGAGATGAGGCAAACCTATAAATGGAGAATACCTTAGAATAGTTGGTGAGGTGGCAAGGAGCTTTTCCTAATTTTTCCTTAACAAGATTTTTATTCCTCTCTTTTCTCAAAATAAACTTTTTAGCTTTGGTAGCCTGGCTATTTGAAACATTTGCAAGTGAAGTTCCATGAAGACTGCGTTAGAATTTGCTTATTCGAGATAAGGCAAGTGAAAATCCCAAGCAACTTCCAATGCAAAAGCATTCAACTTTTGGCAACGAAGCATTGCACTTCTACACGGATTGAGGGCTCACAATTCGTCACACCATTATCCTTTTTTGTCATTAGAACATAATACTAGAAATATGCATATGAAATATGTCACTTATTATGGCAATTGTACACTTTCAATGCAACGAATGTACAATTTAAACATTAGTTTATGTTGTAATGAATATGTAAGTAAGAGTTACATTATGGCTAATCTTTGCCATAGAGTATCTCAAGCAATCAGGCCAAATAATTGTTAAGGCACTTTTATATCTATTCAATGAGATTGAAACAAATGCACCGTTCAAGTTATTCTTTGTCAAAAGTCGTTAGTCAAGCAGTTTAGCCAAAAACAAGAGAGGTGTAATTGTTCATGCCCCGTTCTTGGTAAGATGGAAGCTAATGTATCATTCAAAGTTACTTTTGGCCAAAATTCATGCATCATTTTTCAAAAGGCTTCATGAAAGTGAGCTCAACATTCTTGGTTGTGTGTAAGTTTAAAAGTACTTCATATCTCAAGATACCATTGATTCTTACTTTCTCTTTTCAAAAATAAAAGTTCAAGTAATATGACATCACAAGCCCGATTACTGAGACACAAAGGCAAGTATAAGTGTTTTACATGTTTTTCAAATAAAGAATATGTTATATATCCCCCAAAAAATCTTAAAAGAAAGAAAAAAAACGTCCTTTCTTGCTTGAAAATTTGCATCATAACGCGTTCTATTGTTGGGCAATTAATCCTCATGAACAAGATACGGAGGTCATTGTCTACGAGTAAATTTCCAAATCCGGCTGCCTTTTGAAGCTGGTTTGCAAAATGTGAAAGTTTTTAAACAAAGAACGCATTCACTATATCCAATGTTTAAAAATTTAGAAAAAAAATATAGTTTTACTCCTTATTGTTTAGTCTCTGTGCAGTTTTAGATCTTAAAGGTTCGGTAAAAGTAAATCTAGTCGTTAATGTATAGTGTATGTACAGTTTTAGTCCTCTGGGGATTGGTCTGGTGGTTGAAGTTGTTGAAGATGAAGACTTAGGTCCTTGGTTCGAACTTTACTGCCAACAAGTTGTGGAGGGTGGGAAATAGTCTGCGGGATTCACTTCCTACGGAACACCCCTAAAAAAAAAAAAGTATAGTATATGTACAGTTTTAGTCTCTAAAGATTTGACAAGAGCAATCCGATTTTCAATGTAACCATTTTGAAGCATTTTAAGGGCAATTGATAAATTTTTCTAAATATTAATCAAATCAGTCACGTGCAATCACATGTTTGTTAAAAAAAACTTCTTAAAAGAGAATCAAACTAATGAGTAATCTTTAACAATAAGAATAACTTGCATGCTAACACATTAGTAACAAATTACTCAAGAAAAAAAAGAAAGAAAATTTGTTAATCTATACTAAAAATTAGGAATCACATTTTTTTACTTGGAGACACTAGAGATAGTTAGTGAACATGAATTCTAGATCAATGAACTTGGTATATTGAAGTTTGAGTTTAAAAATTTTCCTTCTTTTTATTGGTTAAATAGTTAACAAATGAGTTATTAGTTCTTAATTTTATTGTTTAAAGTTAGCTACTATTTTTCTTCTTTATTTTGGAATTTAATGTCTAATTCCCATGGATTGGTAATCCTTTCAGTTTTTTTACTAACAAATGACGTGAACTGCTATATGCTTTTCTCCAGTGTGCTTGCGATTAAAGTTTCTTGTCCCTCTCTGGTGGAACTTACACACAATTATTCAATCAGAAAAAGATGAAGGCCCCAGCAACAACAGTGATCGAGGGCCAAGCAACTTCCATTGCAAAAGCATCCAAATTTATTGAGCCACTGATCGAGGGCTCCCTGATGTCTTTCAAGTATTCTACCGAAACAACTAATGGCCGCCTTCATTGACCAAACTTAGAATTGTTGTGGCCGACAAAATTTAGTCTAGGCTTTCATACAGCTATTCTTTATCAAATCATGCAACATATATTTATTTGTAAACCAAAACTTGTAACAAATATTTGGAATTTTTTTTTTGAAAAATATTGTGACATTTCTTTAATCTGATGTATATAAGATAAAAAAATAATTAAAAAATATATTAATAATGTAAATAAATAAATTTTGACAAATAATTTACGATCACAAACAAATCCATTACAATCAGATGACAGGTTACTATGAACAGAGTCTGCTCATAGACACGTTAGATAACTATGAACGGCGAGTCTTTTAGAAGTTTGCATCCGAAGAGCAAAAAATTCCTTTGCTAACTTAAATATATGCATTTACCATTACATGTACTGAGAAATAACTCCTACATTGGCAATAATTCATACGGTAATTCAGATATTTTTAGTAACAGGCCCCAGATTGAATCATAAAAAGATGAAGGCCCCAGCAACAACAAAAATGATTAAGAAAGATCAGGCGAAAATGCCAAAGCAACTTCCATTGCAAAAGCATCCAATGGAGAATTGAAGCCCAGCACTAGACTGATTGAAAACTCCTTATTTGTCACATAATTATCATTATTTATTTCTTGTACCAAACCATAGCAGTCGAAGTTGAGTTGGACCACAGGTTTGTTAATGTGAGCATAAATATCTCATGTGATTAGGGTGGTTCTACACCTCGAATGCAACAAACGTAGTACAATTTAAGCATGGGTTTGTGTTGTAAATTTGTAATTAATATACGCAAATAAAAGTCATTGTGTGATTGTAAAAAATGGATAGCTGATTATGAATTGTCTAATTATAAGGAAGTAAATAAAAATTTTCTCTTAATTTCTTAAATTGGAGAATAAAAGAAGCCGGTGAATTGTAATTAATCTGTTATACAAAAAAAAATATGTTGTTTCTTCAACTTTATAAATTTTTAGTTTAAAAATTTTTTATTTGCTTAAAAATAAAAATTTTTTAAATAAGAATAAAAATTAATAAAATTTTTAAAAATGTAATTTGGAATAAAAACTAGAAGGGAAGGGGAAAAAAGAAGAAAATATCAACATTGTAGAGGGATTTTTTTTTCCCTCTTAGGGGGTTAAGTGTTACAAAATAGAAATTAGAGGGTAAAATGAGAAACAGGACATACCTTAGCAAGATAAATGGCAATTAACCCCTATTATTAATTAAATAAATTTTATAACACTGACAGTGCATACACTCTCATCGTTAAATTCATGACACGTGTGCAAAAATTAAATTTAAATTTAAATTTTATATAGTTATCATTAATACAATGATGATAGTGTATACATTGTCAGTATAGAAAAGATTAATCCTTATAAAAGAGCAATCCGATTTTCAATGTCACCAATTTGAAGCATTTTGAGGACCACTGACGAATTTTTTTAAATATTAATCAAATCAATCACGTGTAGTCACATATTTGTTAAAAAAAACTTCTTAAAAGAGAATCAAAATAATGAGTAATCTTTAACAATAAGAATAACTTGCATGCTAACACATTAGTAACAAATTACTCAAGAAAAAAAGAAAGAAAATTTGTTAATCTATACTAAAAATTAGGAATCACATTTTTTTACTTGGAGACACTAGAGATAGTTAGTGAAAATGAATTCTAGATCGATGAACTTGGTATATTGAAGTCTTAGTTTAAAAATTTTCCTTCTTTTTACTGGTTAAATAGTTAACAAATGAGTTCTTAATTTTGTTGCTTAAAGTAAGATACTATTTTGCTTCTTTATTTTGAAATTCAATTTAATAGGCACATGGCTTAGACATGACTAAATTTTGTTAGTAATTGAGATAAAATTCTTCAAATGTCCTAAAAGCAGCTTTAAATTGAATATAAACGGGACCAGACTTGCTCTTGCTATAACTTTATGGACTAAAACTGCACATGTACAAAATATTGAGGATCACGATTGCTTTTGTTAAAACTTTATGCCTACGAAGACTGAAATGTGGCATTCAGCAAATGCAACTCTTCTACAATTATGAGATTGGTCCAATGGTCAAGAGCAGCCAACTCTTCAACTCTTTTAACGCATTCATCGTTGTGTACAAAAGCAGCCAGCTGGCAAAATAGGTACTACATTGACAATAATGGAAAACTTCCATTGCAAAAGCATCCAAATTTCCCACTGAATTGAACCACTGATCGAGGGCTCCCCGATGTCTTTCAAGTATTCTACCGAAACAACTAATGGCCGCCTTCATTGACCAAACTTAGAATTGTTGTGGATAACAAATCACACGAAGATTCAAATCAGTTTCACATTCAACAAAAACTAGAACAATTAGTTGGTGTTCTTCCACAATTAAGGCCCCCACCAGTGACTAAATCAATTTGATTAATCACAATTATACTAATCTGAATCTCACACATCAACCCACTGGAATCGTTAACTCATCTCTCTCTTATTCTGACTGGCTTCTATTCTGATTTCTACCATTTGTTGCTGAAACATTCCTTCCATCTCTGATATCAGAAAACCTTTCGATCCTAGTTCCAATTCCAAGCAAGAAACAATGGCTGACGCTGCTATCAGTGCTACTGTTAAGGTCGTCTTGGGGACACTTATTTCCATTGCTGCGGACCGCATTGGTATGGTTCGGGAGGTCAAAGCAGAGTTGGAGAGACTAAGCAACACTGCTGCAATCATCCAAGGTTTCTTGGCTGATGCTGACGGGAAAATGCATACCCAAGGGGTGCGAGAGTGGCTCAAGCAGCTAGAAGATGAGGTTTTTAAAGCTGATACCGTGCTAGACGAGCTCAACTACGACAATCTTCGTCGGGAGGTGAAGTACCGAAATCAACCAATGAAGAAGAAGGTATGCTTCTTCTTCTCCTTCTTTAATGCAATTGGCTTTAGTTCCAGCTTGGCTTCAAAGATCCGGGACATCAACACCAACCTAGAAAGGATCAACCAGCGAGCCAATGAGTTGAGATTGGCCAAAAAGCAGCAAAAAGAAGCTGCACTCCCTGCTGATGCCGCTGGTGCCAGACAGACCGACTCTATTGTCGTTCCGAACGTTGTGGGAAGATCCGGCGACGAGTCAAAGATTGTGGACATGTTATCGAGCCCATCTGAAAAGGTTCTTTCTGTTATTCCCATAACAGGCCCGGGAGGTTTGGGAAAGACAACTCTGGCGAAATCAGTCTACAATAATCCAAAAATAGATGGGCACTTTGGCCAAAAAATTTGGGTTTGTGTGGCTAAAGAACAAATTAAGATAATGGAGCTGTTCAAGCTCATTTTAGTACAATTGACAGGAGAAGAAGTTAAAGTGGATGACAGGAATGTTATCGTTAAAAACATTGGAGAAAAGCTCAAGGGACAAAAATATTTCCTTGTTCTTGATGATGTGTGGGATCATGAACAAGGATTGTGGAATGATTATTTCAACACTTTGATGGGACTCAACGAAACCAAAGGAAGCTGGTGTCTTCTCACTACTCGTCTAGAATATGTGGCTAATGCTGTGCCTAGAGATTTGCAAATGAATGATCGTCCTTATTTCTTAGGAAAGCTATCAGGTGATGAGTGCTGGTTCATCATAAAAGGAAAGGTGATGAGTGCAGGGGAAGAAGTACCAGAAGAATTGGAAGCACTAAAGGAGCAAATTTTAAGGAGATGCGATGGCCTACCCTTGGCGGCAAGTTTGATTGGTGGCTTGTTGCGTACCAACAGAAGAGAGAAGTGGCACTCCATTGTGCAGGAGAGTCTTTTGAATAAATATCAAAGCCAAATTAATCAAATACTTAAGGTGAGCTTTGATCATTTATCATCTCCATCAGTTAAGAAATGTTTTGCATATTGCTCGATTTTTCCCCAGGACACTGAATTAGGAGAAGATGAACTAATTGAGCATTGGGTTGCTGAAGGTTTTGTTCTACCAGATCGGGAAAACACAGGAATGATGGAGGAAAGAGGAGGCGAGTATCTAAGGATTTTGTTACAAAGTTCCTTGCTGGAAAAAGTCGAAGATGAGGGGAGCACATACTATAAAATGCACGATCTGGTGCATGATTTTGCAAAATCAATTCTCAATCCAGAAAGCAGCAATCAGGATCGCTACCTTGCATTGGACTCTTCTAAAGGTTTGGAAGAAAATACCATAAGGAAAATACCAGCATCAATTCGCACATTATTTCTCCATCTAGAGGGTGGCGTATCTACTGACATGAACATGCTTTTAAGATTCAAGTGCTTGAATGTTCTCAAATTGTCTGGATATGATGTCAATTTTCTACCGAGCTCCATTGGCAAACTACTACATTTGCGGCTGCTCGACATTTCATCTTCTAGAATCAGAAGTTTGCCGGAATCTCTTTGCAAGCTATATAATTTGCAGACACTAACGATTGATGATGATGAACTTAAAGGAGGTTTTCCAAAACGGATGAGCGATTTGATTAGCTTGCGACATCTAAACTACTATGATTATAATGCAAAATTGAAAATGCCGATGCAGATGGGACGATTGACTTGTCTTCAAACTCTAAAGTTCTTTAATGTAAGTCAAGAGAAGGGTTGTGGCATCGAAGAGCTTGGGACCTTGAAATATCTGAAAGGATCGTTGACTATAAGAAATCTTGGACTAGTGAAGGGCAAAGAAGCAGCTAAACAAGCAAAATTGTTCGAAAAGCCAGATCTGTCTTACTTGGAGTTTAAATGGGAGAGTGGGGATCGGGAAAGCGATAACCGTGAGGAGGATGTGTTGGAAGGTCTCCAACCTCACCCAAATTTGGAAAAGTTGAAAATTCAATATTTTATGGGTAATAAATTTCCACAATGGCTTATCAATTTGTCAAAATTGGAGGCATTGCGGATAGAAGACTGCAAGAGATGCAGTGAACTCCCCTCATTAGGACAACTACCATCCCTCAAACGTCTCTCTTTGATAAGATTGGGCAACATTCGATTTATTGGAGATGAATTCTACGGTATTACTGCTAATGAGGAGGAGGAGGAGGAGGGCAGATCACGAGCATCAGGGAGCGGCGCTAGAAGACGAAAATTCTTTCCTGCCCTTGAAGAACTCTATGTAGAAAATATGGGGAATTTGGTAGAGTGGAAAGGTGCAGACCAAGTGAGGTCAACAGTAGGTGAAGCAGAAGCAGATGTCTTTCCCATGCTGAGGAATTTTCGCATTCAACGTTGCCCCCAGCTGACCGCTCTTCCATGCTCGTGTAAAAGGCTATACGTGGAGAATTGCGATAATCTAACTAGTATCAAAACGGGTTACGGCACTGCTTCTGTTGAGGAGTTGTGGATCGACTCTAGCGACAATCTTAGGGAGCTGCCAGATCTGTTTGGATCCAGTTTGCAGCGATTGACGATCAAAAGGTGCCCAAGATTAATTAGTCTGGGAGTAAATGGACAGAAATGCCGGTCTCTGCGGTCCCTGTGGGTGATGTGGTGCCCCAATCTGGTATCATTTTCGCTTAATTTGCACGAGACGCCTTCTCTCGAGAAATTCAGCTTATTCGATTGTCCCAAATTGATCCCTCATAGGTTCAATGGATTTGCTTTTGCCACCAGCTTAAGAGAATTGAGCATCAACAGTCCCTTCTCCTCAGATGACTCCTCAGTCGATGGTTTTGATTGGTCTGGTTTAAGATCTGTATCAACACTCCGTGAGCTTCGCTTACAAGGGCTGTCTCACACGGAGTCCCTGCCACACCAGCTTCAATACTTGACTATCCTCACTTCACTAAGTCTTCACAACTTTGGAGGAATACGAGTGCTACCGGATTGGATTGGAAACCTTGTGTCCCTTGAAACCCTAAAGCTATGGTTTTGCCAAAAGCTTCAGTCTTTACCACCCGAGGCCGCCATGAGACGACTCACCAAGTTAACTTGTGTTGAAGTTTATTATTGTCTTCTATTAAGACAACGATACACTCCCCAAAGAGGCATCTACTTGGAGGAGGAGATTTCAAGTTATTTTGTAAGATTTTCCTATCTAAAGTTCACACTCATAAATATGTGTATAAATTTTTTGTATCTGCATCTCGTTGACGTATATTTGCTCTTCAGTCTCTTGTACTCTTTTTCTCCATCTCTTTTCTCAAAGTTATTCTCTGTAATTAATTCTCTTCTTTTGGGCAGACCTTGGTTTCTTTTCAAAGATTAGTTTGAACAAAGCCTGTTTTTGAGCAAATTGGAAGAGACCAAAATTCTGGATTTTCTCTGCATCTGCCCACTGAAAGATTTTGAACATCTTAAAAACTCAACTTGTTACCTTATATTTGGCCAAGAACGAAATTATTAGCAACGGTACATACATAATTAGCCTCTCTGTTTGAATGTGTTAGCAAATGTTTCATTGGATGTGCAATGCTAGATGTACATGGAAGCATTCGTCATTTTTTTGTCATTGATATTGCCAGTCTGAATGGACGACATTAAAGCTAATCAAGAAATAGTTGTGAAGAAAATTCATGATACGGTTTGCTATTCTTTGGGACTCTGTGTTCTTATTGCCATAAAATTAGATCAGTCTCCTTGAAGTTCAAATATGTTTGTTGATGAACTAGAGTGCTGCAAACCTTCACCCCTCACAATTGGTGATGCATGCTTCATAAGAATGACAATAATATGGGATGGTTGTTTATCATCTTTCAGAAGTTTGAGAAGTTTGTACATCACAATTACCTTGCTTTTTTGTTCTGTAAGCTGAATTACTATACTGTTACCTTGTCTAGCAGTGACTGAACAAGAAGGCAATAATGGTGCTCAAACATTAGTTTCATGTTGATTCCCATCGTTGCTGAAGAAGGAGAAACCAGAAGGTATGATGGTTCTCAAACATCAGCTTCTCTCCCCAAGAACTCTTTTTAACCTCCACCCAATTTATTAAAAATACAAGGAAACTAGTGCAAGTTTTTATCAAAGTATGCTTGAGTCATGCAATTTGCCAGAAAACAGGGTGTTTTTTTTGTACTTTCATGTACTTTTGAACGTTTGTCCTGTGCTATATAGCTTAGTTTTTAATCTTTAAGATTGTACATTTACTAGGTGCTTAACATGTCATTTGATTGTGAAAGAAGCTGGTTTTTTCCATTTTCTTGTACTGGTTACTAGACCATACCTTTTCTTTGCATTCCTTAGCTGTCATAACTGAAGTCATACTGAAGTGTAACATTACGATGGTATTTTCCACAGTCTTAGAAAGCAGACCTCATGTTGTTCGACAAAGACACCACCCTTTGCTGTTGCATTTCTTACAAGATTGCCAGGGGGCAGAAGTTATTTTCACTGACTAGACAGGTTTGAAGATGAAGTTAGTAATCAATGATGAGAATCTTGCACATCAGAGAGCGCTAGCTTTGATGGAGGCTTCACCAATAGGTGGTTCTCCCCAGGTTCCCCAAACATATGCTTTTAGTCATCTCCTGCTGGGACTGCAAAAAGAAAGGAAATACTTTAGCTTGTTCATCTTCAGGGCAGTTTTGATAGTTTTTTATCTGCATTCTTGATATGTTTTTAGTAAATCAATTACCAAAACTTTTTTTCCCTTTGGTGTAGCATGCTGATTGCTGAACAAATTGGAAGAGACCAAAATTCTGTGTTTTCTCTGCCTCTCTGAACTACTGAAAGATTTGAACATCTTAAATCTCTTTAACTTCAACTTGTTACATTCTATTTGGCCAAGGACGAAATTATTAGCAATGGTTCATACCCAATTAGCCTCTTCGTTTGAATGTGCTACAAAATGTTTCATTTGACGTGCAATGCTAGATGTACATGGACTCATTCTTCATTTTTCCATCATTGATATTGCCAGTCTCAACGGATAACATTAAAGCTAATCGAGAAACGATTTTCAAAGAAAATTCATGATACAATCTGCTATTCTTTGGGACTCTGTGTACTTATTGCCATAAAATTGGATCAGTCTATTTGAACTTCAAATATGTATGTGGAGGAACTAGAGTGCTGTGAACATTCTCCCCTTATTATTGACACTGCATGCTTCATATCAATGACAATAATGTTTTTTTCTTTTCAATGACAAAAATGTTGGATAATTGTTTAGCATCTTTCACAAGTTTGGAAAGTTTATACGTCACAATTGCCTTGATTTTCTGTTCAGTGAGCTGGATTACTGTATTGTAACCTTGAAGATGAACAATGCAATGAAGATGAACAATGCAAGCTCATACATCAGCTTTGTGTTGTTTTCCATTGCTGCTGAAGAAGAAGAGCTCGGGAGGTATGTGGTGCACAAAAGTGATAATGCAGCACTTCTCTCCCCAAGAACTCTAAGTTTGCATTCTAATATGCTTGAGTCATGTAATTGGCATGAAAACAGGGTGTTTTTCTGCACTGTTATTTGTTGTTGAATGTTTACCATATGCCACATAGCTTTTCTTTTGCTCTTGAAGATTTTTATGTATATTTGGTGCTTAACATGTGTTGTGATTGTGAAAGAATCTGGTTTTCAATTTTCTTGCACTAGTTACCAGTCCATACCTTTTCTTTGCTTTCGTAGTTTGTCATGATTGAAGCTGTTCTGAAATGTAATATTATGATGTTTATTCCAGAGTCTAAGGAAGCAGACCTCATGTTATTGGACAAAGGACACCACCATTTGCCGTTGCATTTCTGATTAGAATGCTAAGGGACAGAAGTTATTTTCATTGACCAGACAGGGTTTGAAGATGAAGGCAGTTATCAATGATGTTAATTTAGCTCATTAGATAGCACTAGCTTTGATGGATGTTTCACAAATAGTTCTCAAACATAAGTTTTTCGTTATCTGCTGGTCAGAATGCAGACAGGAAGGTAATAATTTAGCTTGTACATCCTTAGGGCAGTTTTAATAATTTCTGATCCGAGCATGGAAGCTGATACGGGAGATCTATCAAGGCGCAGCTGATTTTAGTCAAACTGGACTGATGTACTTGTTGGTAAAAGAGTTGGATGTTTGTGACAGTATAAACAATCAATTTGGAGCAGTGAGAGAAATGCAGATGCAAGAAGTCTTGAATTGCACAAAGGTCCAAGGAAGAGGAGGGAAAACGTTCTTTTCAGCATATTTTGTGAAGAATTAACACACTTCAAAAGATGGCATTTCATACTTTTGGTGTATCAGAATGTGACAAGTCCTGATAGTACGTTTTCTTCATCTTTTACAGGGACTAAAAGTATGTCTAGAGACCAAATTTGTAAGAGAGAACTTTTATCCTTTTTTAGTTAGACATTTGATAGAGAGAACTTATAATTCTTGTTACTTCTCCTCTTCAAATAATCATTTTTTATTATCTCTGTCGGCTTATTAATTTTACCTGATGCTGCGAAATTGCTTGATCCAGTGGTTTATTAGCCAACCATGCTTTGGGTTCGTAAACAAATCATAAGAGTAAAATCTAAATGATGATCTTATTTTTGGCTAATTGATTAGAATATAGACCTTTGGCAAAAAAATTCGGTCAAATGTAGTCCGTTGTTTCCGTGGTATCATTCTATGCCTATCGCGCCAGCAAAAATTTTTTTTCAAATGAGCAAGATGATTTAAAAAAAAAAAAAAACATTTCTGACAGTCGCGTCATGTAGGAGCGACTAGGCTTCAGTTTGACAACGTGACAGGTGCCGAACCTGTGCAATAATAATAAATAAAACCTAACTACCACATAAAGCAGTCAATAATCAATTCGAGTACTGGAGCAGAGACTCTAGGTGTGCAATAGGTTACTTGATTCACCCTGTTCCCGAAAAGTTTGCTTAATCCGATATACTTGAATTAATTATTTAACTGAATTTACTAACTTAGTAGACAGTGGTAAGCAGGGTCGTCTCCTGAGGGACTGGCGAGAAATTTATTTCTTTTCAAGTCAAGATTAATAGGGGGTTTTGGGATTAAACGACAACTAAATAAATTAAATGCAGAAAATAATTAATTAAAAGAAATAACTAAGAGAAACTCTAGCCAAGGGTATACTTCAGAAATGGTTCATGCAACTGATCATTGATTCAAAGGTAATTCCAACATTTATTAATAGAGTGGTTATAGTTGTCTCGCACGCGCTAAACAACCAACCCTTCCTTAATTTATCGATAGCTAAGGTACGACCGTTAACTATTTCCCTAACCCAAAAACAACCCTAGGTACGACCGTAGGATTTAATTTCTGGTTTGCATTAATAATTAGAAAGGCCCAATCCTAATTAACAAACACGCTACGAGGGTTTGTTTAAATTAGATCGTATGTTTCCCTGACATAAACCCAATTACGCCAGTTGCTACTGGGATAGAGATAACGAACAATTACGGATTCAATTACCTCTATTTAGCAAAATAGCCTGTATGAATAATTAATTATTGCGCACTAATCAATCATACACAAGAGCTATAACAGTTAAAAGCAGGAAACATATGAATACCAATAAATGGAGGAAACAATTAAAATAAATTAGATCTCACAGTAATTGTTGAACCAAGTCTTCAGTTGTCCCCTTCACTAGAATTAAGAGGTTAGTCCTCCATTAATGGAGAACAACCATGCGAAAGAGCTATTCGAACCTTACAAAATTGTTCCTGGCCAAATCGGCCAACTAGCCAAAGAAAAAGTCATAAGAACAAAGCAATTGTGCCCTTTTTCTTTCTGCCGTGAGAAGAAGAACCGAATTTGTTGCTGCCTTCGACTCTTAATCACGCGGGATCCGGCCTTCCTTTCCTATTTTCTAGCTTTCTAAAACGCAATCAACTTCCTCCCTCACAATCTGTAGTGATTGATGCCAAAGAAATCTCCTACCATAGGAAAACTAACTCCTAAAAGATAGCAAAACAAAGTGCTTAAAAGTCTCCTAAACCAACCCAATTACTAATTAGAAACTTGGCAGATAATATCATCTTCCAGTTGTGATGACGACTCCCACTTGAATTAGGATACTGCCCTGCATAGAATCCCACACACTCCAAGCTTGTTTGATGTCTTCTCACGCGTCCACACTTACTTGGAGGAAAATCTTCTAAAAGCTGCTATTTTTGCACTTTCCTTCTCCAATTGGATAAACATCCCCTAAACATACAATTCAAACAAAATATGTCTATTAATGCAATATCCAATCCAATAAGAAAGGGAAATTATAACAAAATTAATGCTAAATTAGCGTTCTATCAATTTCCCCCACACCTAAGAATATAAAATATTCAACCAGCATCCATAAGCAAATGGTTCGACTATTAAGCAAAATCTCAATATTAAAATTCATGAATCAGCGGGCTAACAATTCATTCAAATACTTCCACATTTTTCACTTTTAGCATATATTTTTTCTTTTCTAGAATATCCCCACTTATTTGATTTTTTTTTCTTCAGGGGGAATGCTTAGTTTTTAGCCATTCAAGCATTTTGACGCGAACTCCGACATTGGCCAAATGAAGGAGCCCGGTTACTCAGCCATCATCGCTTAAAAACCACATACTCATAGCTATCGTCGCTTTTTGACGCGAAAGTCGACACTTGTGGTGAAGACTCCCGGTTACTAGGCAACGATACTAGCGGAGTATAGCCTAATACTATTCATAAATAAGCACCAAAAATAAAATTAAATACCACACAAACCCGCTTCATTTCTTAAACATGGAGAACTAAGATTAATAGCTGAACCAATTTGTGTAAAAAATGCTAGACAAATATTTACAATACTTAGAAAAGTTAACCAAAAAGTGCAAAAGTCACAAAATCTCAAATATTCATCAAAGAGATACCCTTAAACTCAACCATGTCATACTCAACACCTTAAAGTGTAAAATCTTAGCAATAGAAAAATTTGAGACATCTAACCATCGTTTATCAGGAATAATCACAAATAAGCACAAAGATAGGCAAAAATTGGACAAAATTCGACAAAGTCAAACAAAAATTCCAACAAAAATGCATACACTTGCACTTTTTCAATAAAATGCCAATATACTACTCCCCCCACACCTAAATCACACATTGCCCTCAATGTGACAAATAAACAGTAATAGCAAGGCGAAGGGCAACGGGACTTCCCTGAATACGTGGTGGAAGGTCTCGGGCGGCTATAGAATAGGTGGGAACGGTGGAGTGAAAATGGTGCTACGGTAGTGCGCGGCAGTGAAAGATTGTAGAGGGAAGGAGAGCTTAGACGTGCGTCTTGATCCAGGCGAACTAGAGTGCAACAGAGAACATCAAACCAGCAAATACTCACTGGTGGCTCCAATTGGGTCAAATGCAGGAACAATGTAGTCCAAAATCGCAACAAATGCTCTAAAGATTTAGCAATTGAAATCAAAAGGTAAAATACTCCCAGCAAGTCAATTAGACGCCACCAACAGCAATAAGCAATGGAAGTGGCACAGTAGCCTTCCAATTCAACAAACAAATGAAGAAAATACCCAACCAAAGGCACTTCAAGGGACGCAAGACAGAAATCAGCAAAGTAGAACTCAAGTGATACCAAAAATAACCTCAACAAAGCAGTGAATTCGACCAATTTGAATACGTAGAATACGGTCAGAAATGCCTCCCAAAGATCAACAGAGAGCGACAAAATTTGCCCACCCAAAATCTGTCCAAATGGCTCCAATTGGACAAGAAATTACACAACTCAACCAACCGAAATTAGCAAATAAGCCAAGAAACCGTCAAAACCAGAAATAGCAGTTCAGAATTTGGACTACAACTAAAACAAAATGTTTGGCAGTTTTCAATCAAGTAGCCCACCAACTAGAACCAAGTATCAACAAATGTAGTTATAATACCCCAACCCGTACCACTGGTGCCCAGACAGGAAAGAATTAAATTCAATGGCAGCAACTCAACCGCAAGAACTTAAACTTTAAAATTAATCAACCAGTACCACTGGTGAGTCACAGGGCAAACGATAAATCAAACGGCCAACAATCGAGCAGCAATTAACCTCAATTCAGTTCTAAATGAACCCAGAAAATGCTCAAATCATCTCCTGCGTTATCCAACAAATTTACTCAATGAAATCGTAATCATCAAGATCCCATCAACATCAAGAAATTGGAATTGAGGACCAGAAAATTATTTAAGAAAAACCTGGCACCAGGGAGGTTGGGATGTTGGCGTGGCTGAGGTGGGGGCGACCCTGAGCTGGTGGAAGGCAACAGGCCCGCGGGCTGGGCTGCGGCGCTGGCAGCGTGCGACAGTGATGACTGGTAGTGGTGGTTGTGGAGCTCGAGCAGGCGGCGGCGCGGCTCCTCAGCGAAGTGGACCGTGAGGTGGTCTGGTTGTGGGCGAAAGCTGAGCGCGAGGGAGGAAGTAGGAGGTTGACCGCTGGTGGAGATAGCCAACAGCAGTGGCGGAGGAGGATAGCAGACAAAACAGGAGGAAAGCTGGAGTGGCGGTGGTGGTGCGCAGAGCTGGAGTGCGGCGTGCTGGTGGCGCGGCTGTCGCAGAGCTCGGGCAGGCGCTCATCGCCGGCGGCTCTGGTTGAAGGAACAAGAGAAAAGGGGAAAGCAGGGGCAGCGGGGAAGAAGGAAGAAAGAAAAGAAAAAAGAAAATAAGAAAAAGAAAATAAAATGGTTTTTTTTTTTTAACTAGTCTTACCGAAATTCTCCAAAAATTGAAATTGCTTTTGTAAAAATTTTATCTCTTTTTTTTTTTTTCAGAATAAGGAACCTCTGGCCTAGGCGTGGGCACGTCTAATTGCTATAGAGCCCGCAGATCTTGAACGAAAATTCCTTTCCCTCAAGCGTGACCACCTGGCGTGGGCACGTCTAACTGCTATAGAGTCCGCAGATTCTGAACGAAAATTTCCTCCGTCAGGCGTGACCATCTGGCGTGGGCACGTCTAACTACTATGGAGTTCGCAGAACCTGAGCGAAAATTCCTTTTTCTCAGGCATGACCACTTGGCGTGGGCACGCCTAACCGCTAATTCCCTGCCACCAAACAACAAATCACTAAATGCAACTAACACTTAACAAAAACTCCAAAAACATAAGAAAACTAAAATAAAGAGCCTTGGGTTGCCTCCCAAGCAGCGCCTTTCTTTAATGTCTTTGGCTAGACATGCTATGCTTGTTCACGGAGGATAAAATCTTGTGGCTCGCTTCAGTGTTTCATCTTCAATGTGATCCTGGTAACCCTCATAGATGGAGTAATCCTTGAGCACACGAATTGCGGGCTTCCATGGACTAGTAAATGGTGCTAAACAAGTCAACAATGATCTGCATTCTCCACTCACTTCTCCCTCACTTGCATTTATTGGTTCAAGATATTTTGCCATCTCCA